GTAAATTATTTAAAATACATATAAAAACCAATGTATTATCTCAATTGATCTTGATATTTTAGACTGACCGGAGGCCGTATTTCTACACCTGCCTGTTTAACACTTACTGTACTGGACATCTCTCCGTGTTACTATCTTTGCATGGGTATCTGCTACAGTGATTTCTTACACATGTTACACTGCCACTCCAATCATGTCTTATCCTAACACTCTATTTCTTGTCGCACTAGGTCACTTGAGTACTATACATGGTACATCTTACATATATATCACTCCGTGACGTCTTCATACGTACCTGATTGGTGTGTCTGATCATCTATTCCTTGTTGTCTTGGTGATCTTCCATCATTTACACCTACCTTTTTATTTATTTATTTTTTATCCTTTATATGTGCTCCACTTCATCTTCTGTGATCTGCCATCATTCTTCCTTGTCCTCTTCAACCTTTCTGGTGTGGCTCGGCTCTAGCGAAGGTGTTGGTGCCCATAACGGTACATGTGCTTCCTGATGTGGTGTGGTTCGAAGTGTCCATGTCGATGTGAATGCTGAAATTCTTTGGTTTTGTTCTATCATATTACTTCCTCTGGTTCGATTGACTATCGTATCATCCTCGGCGGTATTACGTAGTACCTTTTGCCTGTTAATTACACTGTCGCTAATATCTGTTCGCTCTATTCTCTCATTCAAGCGGTTTACTTGTTGACGAGCAAATATTCGGAGTCCGCGATTGTGTTGTCCCAGGTATCTGGCTTGTCTCTGGATTTCTGAGGTGTCTCCGTTCGCCTCCGCGTCTGACGCACTACTGCAGTTTGGTTGAAGTGCTGGCACGCTATCACTAGTATCACTACTAATAAAGCCACTATCTATGTCATCTACTAACGGTTGTTCTATGTTGACGACTGTCATTTCGGTTTCTGATGTCTGAGACATCTCTCTCTTATTTTGTGTTATGTTCAAAAAAAATTACTTTACACGGGATCCTATAGTCCTTACTAACTTCGTCTCCTATTCAGGATCCGTTCAATTAATGTACAACTTTTAAGTCATCTAAAAATTTGGTAAGTAGTCTATGATAACTGTATTTCAACGTACTCCCCTCGTACAATTGGAGACGTTGTTCATTTACTGGACTAAAATCCTGTGACTATCATTTTGTCATGTGTTTTCCATTAATCAGTTTTAACCTGATTGGATAACCCTGGTTCCAAAATGTAGTCTCTAATAAATCCCAAATCCCAAATAAACCCTAATCCTAAATAAACCCCATCCGAGACTTCCTGACTACACCCGTCAGAGTTAAATTGGATGACGGCCAGTAGCGCTAGGTTGACGGGAGTGGGCTCGTAGTTAACTGCGATCACCCCATCATCTAACCACGCCTTCACCTGTTCCCGCACGACTTGCTCATGACGCCAAGCAACATAGTTTCATGTGGGACACTTCAGCTTCGAGAAATCCACCTTTGTCAGATCTGGACTAACGTATCCGTTGTTGAACTTGAACTTAGCCCAGTCTGTGATCTTGATCTTGTCGTTCTCAAAAATCAAGTCCTTGAGTTTCTCAGCGAAGTGAGGTCTTTGCAGGTTTATACACCGGCTTCGACAAATCGTCGTCCAAACGATCCTTCTGAGGTCCAATGTTGATAGGTAAGTCCGTTATTGTGATACCTAATGACAATAAAACCCCCATACCGACTAAAAGTTCATAGTCTGGATATATGTTACTTATGACTGCTTTCGTTGCCGTAGTACGTCGGTCGATCAATGTAAACATACGATCAATCGCCATTTCTCTACAGGTGATATCCCTCTCATCGGCCAGCCTCAACATAGTTGGTTCTGACTTACGAGATACATCCGTCATCTTACACGATCTTGATGATATACGTGAAATTTGCGAGCCCAGATCCAACAACGCTTTTATTTCATGCCCATTAACTCGTACATCTAGGAATACACGCTCGTCCTGTGGTGCATCCTTCTGTCTTAGTGACGTGATGCAATACATTTGTCACTTCCCTTCGACCTTTGGTTGTACCTTGCAGGTGTGTTTGTGGTCTCCTCCAGTCCCGGTACAGACAGCACACTTCGCAACAAAGTGCTTACAATTGTCTGCATGACATTCGTTCCAACGGTCATTCGGCTCGTGTTGGGTCATTCTTCAATTGCAATCAACCTCACTACAGTTCTTCACCTCCTTATGCCGTGGCTTAGGGGGTACTGCCGGCTGTCCAACCTTGGCTGTCGGGTTAATTTTAGTGTTGTCATTGTTCTTGTTGCCATAAGAACCATGCGTATGCGAGTTCTTCTGACCACCTTTGTCTCCACCTTTGTCTCCACCTTTGTCTCCACCTTTGTCCCCTTTATGACCTCCAGCTGCTGACTGAGGGTCTCGACCATTACGTGATCTTCCGGTAGCACTAGCTACAACCTTCTTCTGAGCACGACTTTAACTACAGAACTCGGTCGTTTCGTAGACGTCTGATCTGCTCGCGAGTAATATTCAGCCCAGGTCAGGTCCGCGAGCTTCATGATGCCGTAGGTAGGCCTCTCGATGGAGATCTTTCATAATTTATCCGGGTACGATTGATGCATATCGGCATACAGGATCTCCTGATCTTTCCTATGCAAGTTGTACATACATGGTTAGCTTATCAGGTGACCTCTCCTGGGATTGAACCCGTGACATGTGTGTGTCCAACTCCAATAAGTAGTGGGACACCGGCGTTCCTTCTTCCTGTGGTACCATGATTGATACCGGTAGCTTCGGTCGAGGATTCATCGAGAACAGGTGAACGATTATCACACTCTGTTCTTTCCACGTCTTCAGCTTAGTGATATCATGTTTAGCCTTCTCCAACTTATTATACTTATAAAAGGATGGCTTAAAGCTCTGCTGCACTGTTTCGAACCATAAGTTCTTACGTAGATTCGCTGTAGGCATAATACGTCCAAGTTCCTTTAAACAACGCCAGACTGCTAGTATCGATCGGATCCTTGCGACAATTCCGATCAGATCTGTATGTCGTTGGTAGTTTACTTGTGTTCTTCGCAAACCTCTTGCCTTCCACAGCCTTCTCCGTTTGAAATACTCGCAGTTCTGAATCAATCTTGGTCTGGAAGTGCGTAGCCATTGACATTTAAAGACTAGCTGCATCAATCCTACCTTGATCTATGGCCTCAAGTGAAGCAGCTTCTGCTTTGTTCATCCAGACTGTGAAATCCGCAATCTTCAAATCACTTCCAGACTAAGATTGATTGGAAGTGCGTCTGGTGTGATCTGATTCCGTCTGCTCTGACTGCATCTGACCATGTAGTCACTTATCTGCCTCATCCTTCGATACATCTGATACATCGTCGGCCTGAGCATTTGCCACTGGGGCAGCCTGTGTAGTCGTGGTCGGGACTGCCGTGGGGGGCGTGCTATCTCCCGTTGACTATGATTGTGATTCGACCTTTGCCTGATCTGGCTTGGGTTCTCCCTCCGGTACAACCTTTGAACCTACCTCTGGGGCATCCTCTGGTTTACCATCCGGTGCAGGATGGGGCAACGGCACCTGTTCGGATGCCATCCGAGACATTGCTGTTGGATCCTCACCTGGTGATGGTTGGGCCTCTGATGAATAGGATCAGATTCTGTTTGATACAGCGACAAATGGTTGGATGTCAAATCCAGAAAGTCCATGAGAGCATCCCGAATTGAGTACCAGAGTATGAGTGCGAAACTTCCATACCTCTTGGTTCCAAATACTTCTGGTAGTACCTTCTGGAACTGACGAAATAGTTTGCGTGCTTGCTTGGCTCCGTCAGTCCGGATGGGTACTAGCCGGTTGTAGTATTTTGGGTCATTAAACAAATCGAGACCAAAATGTCATACCGCTGCATTCATTACATACATCGGCGAGATTGATTCATCCGGATTGGTCTTCATGACGTGCGGGAAAAATGATCCGTACGAGTATTGGAACATCTATATGCGGTTGGCACGAAGTCGGATCTTCTCTCGTTGATCCTCCTCCTGGAGATCGATTTGAGCCTGATATGGATGCCCTAGATCAAGGCCCTGTCAACACGCTGGTCCGAGTGGTGTTTTAGGTAGTCGTAGGAACTTTGAATCCAACGCATTGTTCGTCATCCTGACGCTGTCTTGCTTTATTTGCGTCATCAACACCTGCAAGAGCTTCCTTCAATCGTTCGGCAGTAATGTTGACCTTGAGCTGATTCATTATTCCCTGCGATAGTGGAATATCATACAGAGTCATCCTCTTCCGATTCACCCTCATCTTGCTTCGCTGTGGTAGCCTATGCGGCCTTCGCAGCTCGCTGATGAGTTGGTTTCAACTCATGCGCCAAAGGTTGGAGAATTTTTAGTAGTCTTCTCCTATCCCTTTCTATCATGTGGTAATTACGACCGCGTCGATCGCGATCATCACCAGATTCAACTTCAGAGAGCAATGCATGACGCACTTCCTCTAACGTAAAATCCTCTGATGATTGCGTTCCCTCGGCTGATCCCTTACAAGACTTCGCCTTCTTCATTGGCGGTTTCTGCGGTGCAGTGGTTATGCTCCCTCCAGAGGCACCTACACCCGAGTCAGCTATCTTCTTGCGTTTCCACTTAGATTCGGCTGGCGCGACCTGTGTCGGTGTGACCTCAGTCGCCTTGGTAGCAGCTGCTGGCACCGGGGAAGTTTTCTGCTTTGCTGCGTCCACCGTAAACCCTTTCGTGTTGGCAGCCTTAGCTACATTAGCTGTCTTATTTTTCGATTTCGTCATAATATCTATAGCGTATTATAAACTTGAAAATATGCAAAAGTCGGTCTCCTCTAGGCTGACTATACGATACCAAAACAAGACAATACGTTAAAACGTTAAAATGCAAAATGATAAAATAAGTTTAGCTTCAGCCCTTGGTAATGAGTTAAAAGATTAGGAGATTTTAGACCGCGACTGTTGTCTATATGCTCCGCTCTAATCACTCACTACTTCGGTCTAGATTTATTTGTGTTTTAGTTACTAAGACCAGATACTATTCCATTAGACGCATAATGTATTTCACGCCTCGAAACAATCCTCCAATCAAACTAACCAATAAAATAACCCTTAAGTCCAACTTAAGAAGAAGAAAAAAAGGAAATCAAAACCCCAAGTTTGTGCAGTATGCATCTGTACCTAACCCCATCACTTGGTACCTAGCACCCACCCCATTTAAGGCATAGACGGGCACATCTAGTTGGCTGGCTAGGAGGAATCGAAACCATGTTGCCCTAAATTGTGACAGCTATGATCATGTCCTATTCTCAGTGGATTATCTTGCTCTGAGATCATTGGGTTTTCATGCTTGAGACCCTCTGTTATGGTACTCTTATTATTTAGGGATTCCCAAAGTGTCTTTTCCAGGTGTCAGTTTTGTATCATTCCTATATTTTATATGATTCCAATTTTGGTGAAAACCCCAATTAGTATTTGGAAAACCACTTAATTGTTCACAGTAGAGTCTCATACTCTAATGTGTACTGTCACATGTTCAGAATCTCAAATTACGCAGTTCTTGTTCATGTCCAATTCTTTTAAACGTATTCCAGTTTTATAACTATAAACGATTGAACGTCAAAACATGTGCTTCTACTTTAAGGAACGCACTATTTTTACAGAATACAAGGCGGCGAAGTTCATCTGTGATAAATAGGAACCAGCAGTTGCCGAAGTATATCTTTCCATCCACGAATGGGGTTGCGTTGGCGAAGTCCGGGGTGGGCCTGAATATTTAGGCCAATGCGCCGTGGAAGCTGATTCGCCCTGTCTTGGCGAAGGCGATTGCCGAGCAGTTGGAGATCACGTTAGTGTCCCCCTACATGCCAAATGCGAGTTGGTGGGGCGTCATGACCAATATGTTAGCGAGGGAGTCTATAGTTATTCCGCCGCAAAAGGGCGTGCTCTTTAGGTATGGTCACGAGACCATAGATGAGCCTCTGTGCGGGCCCACTCTCATGTGCCTCCGCGTTTCATAAAATAAGCGGGTGCACCTCTCGGATGAGTTTTAGGCGGGCGTTCAGAAGAGCGTGCAGGTGTTTGCCAGATGCCCGGCAGCGGGTTGTGCCGTAGCCCCGGCTTTGAGGTTCCAGCCACAGAGAGCGCCGTCGGAGCATGGTACGCAGGCTTAGGCGCAGCGTGAGCAGCGCAGGTGGCTTAGAGTGCAGCGTCTACAGGCCAGTGCGCGCTGTTGGCGAGGCAGGGGGAATCTCTGTACATCCTTAAAGGGATGCAGTTGTCGTGGCCGGAGGTCCGGAACGTGGTCGGTGCAGCACATAATGTGTGCATGCTTGCGGGTGCAAAGAAGTTCCTAGGCAAGCTTCAGAAGCTCTGTGGCTGGACAGGTCTGGGGGATCTGGCGCAGGCGGTGCGACGGTCATGCCACACCTGCTAAAATAAGGGAGCCGTGTAGAAATAC